GGAGATTTGGAATCTTGTTTTTATACAATTTAACAGGCGGGTTTAATTTTAATACTAATACTGTTGAGGTAAATGTCACTATTTTACCTGTTGCAATAATGTTGCCGTCTACATTCACTTACTCACTTCAGGGAAGAAACAGGTGTTCTTCGTCCTCTTCCATTAAAGCATATTGACACTGGTATGGGACTTGAGCGTATGCTTTCTGTACTGCAGAACAAGAGGTCAAATTACGACACAGACCTCTTCGTTCCACTTTTTAAGGCTATTGAGAAAGTACGTTTATTGTTCACATTACATCAGTCTGCTTTTATAATTCCGGTCAAATTTTTATTTAAATAGGGACTTAAACCTTCGCCTAACTAAATTCACACTCATTGTAGCTTGAAGCATTTTACCAAGACTGCTTCACTTTCTTCTCCATAAACTTATTTTCTTTTGTTAAAAAAACATACTGCTGGCCAGTTATTATCTTTGCCATCTATGCCATCAACTTTATCTATTCATAATCATCAGGCCAAGTCTAATTTAATGATTTTTTCGCACATCAATTATTCATTTTTTTCCATTCATTATCTGCATCACATATCCTAGTAGTAGCTGTGGGTTAATTGGTTTTAACCTACTCTTGTCTCTATTAGCTTATTTGTCTTCAACTCATTGCATTACTCCACGACAATATATAACGCTCAAAGTCTAGTCCAGAACTTTATATCCTGAGATGTCGATTTAAATTTATTTCTGCAATCCCAAAATACATACAATTTACAGGACAAGCTCCTAGGCCCATATTTGTTTGCAACTATTCTTGTCTTTAGAAATGGCTTAATTACTATCGACAAGATTAAATAAAGCAGTTTAATTGTTTTTTACTGTATTATCATACAACAAATACCTACTATAGATCCAGACTAGTCCTTTTAGCTCACTCAAGTACTCGGAATTACTAGTCCAATTCTTAAGGCGAATATCTGCCTCTGGCGCTAACCTTTTTTTTCTGCTTGCTGTCTATTTTTATTCCTTACTAGCCTAATATCTCACTTTTTCTAGCCTTTGCCATTTATTTTACATTTTAAATGAATTATAGTGTGCATGTCTTGTATTTTATAAAACATTCTTGGGCTAGGGATATAGTACACTATCGAATCAATGATATCATCTTGGATACATTTCGGCGATTCTACAGAACCCAAAATATTTTTCTCTTGCACACTCCGGCTTCATCATGCCGACCTCAACTACTTGTCAACAATTTTCTGAATGCACTTAATAGGCTATTTACTCAGAAAACTGTTGTCTCACAATTTCAAGTATAAAGATTCATTATCTTGGCAAACCACACCTTTCTTCCCTATATCAAGGGACATGAATGCCTATTTAATTATCCTCATCCAGGGTTCAGGTTGTCGACCTTACACTGGAAAAGTCGGTGACCAAGATGTCGATGGAATAGACATGGCTTATCGGGTTTTGGCAGACCATGCACGTACTCTGACAATCGCATTATCCGACGGTGGTCGGGCGCAAAACACTGGTCGTGGTTACGTACTGCGAAGGATTCTACGTCGTGCCGTTCGATATTCCAACGAAGTACTAGGTGCTCAACCTGGTTTTTTTTCTTCGTTGGTAGACACTGTAGTGGAGAGCTTGGGCTCGGCTTTTCCCGAGTTATGCAAAGATCCGTCTTTGGCAAGTTATTTATTGCTTTATAAAAAGTCCTTGAAGACTATAATAAAAAGTTCTTTAGAAGTGTCTTGCAATTGAAGTGAGAGTAGATTGCATAGCAAACTTTATTCCATCTTTTGTTTTCTATCAGTGGTCAGTATTACGAGTTAGTTTACTATTGCTATTTTTATCAAAAATATGTATTTCAGTTATGCATGCTATCTATGCTTGTAAATCACGTTTTATACCCACTCGCTCAAAGCTAATCTATATTTTTTTTAAGCCTGACTTTAAACAAATTGTCTTCATGGCTCTTATTCCATATCCCACCAAAATAGTCTATGTACATTTTTTGGATTGATTCTTATTTCATAATCGTTTAGCCTACCTACATTTCGAGTGAAAGTGTTTGGTGAAAAAATTCGAAAGTCGATCCCACCAACAGACCGCAGCGAATTCTTTTTGACCAGCTATCGATTGGCCTTACTGGAACATTCTTGTTAACGCTGTTCCCGAGTCAATCTCCTTCTATTCATGTGAAAACTTGCTAGGCTTTTGTCTGTTGTATGACGGACATCATCAGAGGAGGCTATCACCCATACAACCATATTCAAGCTAACGAGTCAAGAAAATTTACTAGCTCATCCTTAAATGCTCTATACATACCCTATATCCATAGACAGACATCCATGTCCTTCGATATAGACATATGACTTTAACTAACTAAATTACTTTATACTTCATCAAAAATGTTGGATGTAGGAATGTAACATTTAGAGATGAGTCGGTGATTTTTCTCGACTCATTAACATCAATATGGTTGTAAAGATGATACTCTGCTCTGATAATGTCTACCATACGACGGATGAAAGCTTAGTACTTTTTCACTGGAATCGAAGAGAATTGTCTCGGTAACAAGAATGATCCAATAAAGCC